ATCCCACGTGCCGCGGAGCGGCTGGGCCCGTGAGCCATGGCCACCGAGCCTGTGCGTCCGGAGCCTGTGCTCCGCAACGGGAGAGGCCACAGCAGTGAGAGGCCCACGTACCGCAAAAAATAATAATAATAAATAAAAAAATAAAATAAAGAGGCTTTGGTATAAGTGACTCTTTAAAGTTGTTTGGGGAGATAAATGTTTAAATGCTCCCATCGAGTAACTTCTCATTCCAGGAGCTGCTGATTCGCGTCAAGGTTGGACCTACCCACGACGTCCCACTGAACCTGGATTCATACTAGTTGTTCTTTTACACCTGCAGAGAAGCACTGAGTCTTTATTCTCATTGGCACCTCCTGACAACTTTTGGAGGTAAATAAAACCTCTGTTCCTGTATCAGAGAAGATGGACAGAGGGACGGGGAAAGGACACTCATGTGAGCTTCCGCGAGCTCGCTGCGGGTGGCTCGGAAGTGTTTTCTCATGAAGCTTCGTGGCCGTCTTGCGTCTACAGCCAAGGGAGATGAGACCCGGGAGGCGTGAGTGACTTGCCCTGGGACCCGCGGCCGGCTGGACCCTCACCAGGCCCACCGCTTCTCCGTGACCTGACCTAGGGCGCCCTCCCGGCGTGCCTTCTCCTCCAGGATGTGAAGCAGGCAGAGAAGCAAAGTGCCGCCTCTCTGCGCGTCCCATCGGCTAGGATGTATCTCATGAATGCGCCTCCTGTGCTCGCCCTGCCGTCCAAATGGGAGGCCTTTGGCCCACCCGGGAGCTGTAGGTTTCCCAGATGCTTCTCAGAGCCGAAAGAGGGCGTCCCGAGAGCGGCGGTGAGCGCCGAGGTCCAGGCGGTCATCAGCACGCTTCAGGGGGACGGGGCCGCCCTGGGCATGAGTGGCGAGCATGCCCGGCAGAGAAGCCAGAGAGCGGAGAGGGGCCGCGGCACCAGGCTGGCTACCAGCCCCGCCTTTGCCGCCTGTGGTCTTGCTGCTGGGTTTGACCCCAAGGGGGAGGACGAGGCCGCAGACCTTGGCCCCCTGGTGCTGGATTCGGACAGTGATGATTCCGTGGACCGCGACATTGAGGAAGCCATCCAGGAGTACCTGAAGGCCAAGAGCGGGGCCGCCCGGCCTCCCGCAGCCAGTCGATGCAAACCAGAGCCGCCTCCGAGCGGCACCCTGACCGCCCTGTGCTCCCCAGACCTTGCAGCTGGCCCCACTGGTGTCCCCGGCAGCCACAGGGGAGTCGGCCAGGACCAAGGCTCTGCCTCGCCACTCAGCGTGAGCAGCGAGGACTCCTTCGAACAGAGCATCCGGGCGGAGATCGAACAGTTCCTAAGTGAGAAGAGGCAGCACGAAACCCAAAAATGCGACGTTCCTGCAGACAAAACACCAGACCCCAGTGACAGCTTGGCCCAGTCGGCGTCTAGATCCAGCAGAGAGCTGACGGGCAAGGCGTACCAGCAGGAGCTGGCGGGCGCCTGTAAGGAGTTCACCTTCCGGAAGCCTCCCAGGTCCACAAAGGCTGGCGCGCTGCCCAGAGGCCCCAGGTGCAAGGTCACCGTTGAGGCCGCCGCGGCTGCAGGCCGCCCTGCAGAAGCAGCCGCTGGTAAAGTCGGGGTCAGGAGGGGCACCGGCTCAGGGAAGAGGGGAAGGCGAGCCAGGAGCGCGGCCCTGGCGCCTGAGGCGGCTGACTCAAGCAGCGATGACGGCATCGAGGAGGCCATCCAGCTGTACCAGCTGGAGAAGAGGCAGGGGGCAGCTGGCGAGCCGCCGCAGGGGGCCCTGCCCACAGGGGAGAGGGGCCCCGGGCCCCCTGCACACGGCACGGGCCTCTGCACCAAGAGCACCTGGCTCGAAGGCCGCGGGAAGTCCCCGGGCAAGAAGAAGCCAGTGGCCACCAAGGCCGCGGACCTCAGCACGGGTGGCCGGGACCCCGACCACCCCTCCAGGCCTCCCAGCGAAACCGTGGCTCCTGCACCTCCAGAACGTACAGCTGCCGAAAGCAAGTCTGTGGACGGGTCCCCGTGCCGCGCAGACGCATCTGCGGAGCTCATGTGCGCTGAAGCGATCCTGGACATTTCCAAGACGATCCTGCCGGGCCCCCTGGAGGGCGGCACCAGATCCCCGCCCGCCAGCCCACTCCTGTATCCCCACGACGTGCCTTCCTGCTCTGACGGTGACAGCAGCTCTGTGGACAGCGACGACAGCATCGAACAGGAAATCCGGACGTTCTTGGCTCTGAAGGCGCAGTCAGGGGGGCTGCTGCCCAGGACGGAGACGTGCCCACGGCCGGCACACAGCCCGCTGCTGCCACCCGGCCTCAGCGCCTCGGCCACCAAAACGCCGGACCTGTCGCTGAGCTGCAAGAGGAAACGCGGAGCAGGCAGCACCACCATGCGGCCGTGCACGCCCAAGAGGACCAGAGAGACAGCCGAGGCGCAGGAGGGCGCCCGGGACGCCGACCGCAGCCAGGGGAGAGCGCAGCCCAGCCAGGGGAAAGCCAGCGAGGCCCCGGGAAGGGAGGGTGAGACCTGGGGCCAGCCTCTCCCCTGCAGGACGGGCGTGCTGGGTGATGAGCACGGGGCCCCGGTCGCGCAGGGTACTGTGTCGCCAGGCTCCGGGAAGGCAACTGAGGCGAGGCGCGTGGATGAGAAGGAGAGCTCCGAGGACAAGAGCAGCTCGCTGGATAGTGACGAGGACCTGGACACGGCCATCAAGGACCTGCTGCGGTCCAAGCGGAGGCTCCGGAAGAGGTGCAAAGACCCCAGAGCCGGCTGCAAGAAGAGGGTCAGGTTCAGCACCACGGAGACGCAGTTCCTGGACAAAGTAGGGGGCTTCCCGAAAGACTGGAAAGACCGAAGCCCACATCTGCTGAAAAGCTGCCTCTCAAAGTCCAGAAAAGAGAGCCCGGGGAGACCCTCGCACGTCCTCTGCCGAGAAGCGGTGAGAGCAAAGCCAGACGGCGTGGCAGCCGAGGACGCGCCCCCGGCTCCCCGGTCCAGGGGCCAAGCCGCAGGAAGGAGCCTGTTCTCTGGTGAATCGGAAGCCCGTGAACTTCGTGGTCCAGCCCCAAGCCCCAGTTCCCTGTCTGATGACAGCAGTTCTGTAGACAGCGATGACAGCATTGAACTGGAGATTAGGAAGTTTTTGGCCGAAAAGGCCAAGGAGTCCATGAGCGGATCAGAAATTCAAGGAGGGGGCCCCACCGCTCTCGGGACGGGGAATGGGGGCAAGCCAGAGCTGCCGTGCCGGAAAGTGCCACCTCCCGGCCCGGCCCTTCAGCCTGGCGTGTGCACTCGGAGCCAGAGGTGCAGGGGGCCCTTGCAGCCGGCCGAGGGACCAAGGGGCCCAGGCAGAGCCTTCACTCCGGCCGGGAGGAACAGCCCCCGCACCGAGCAGGCCTGCAGCCCTGCAGCCCTGGCCAGATGCGAACTGGTGCCGCCCAGGAGCGCCAGCGGGACCGCATCTGCCAAAGGGTCACCAGCCAGTAGGAGAACCGCCTATGCGCCCAAAGATAAGAGCCCGAGGGGGGCCGAGGCTGCCGCAGGGGAAAGCACATTGGCTCAGCTCCCGAGCTGCATGGAGGCAGGCGCTCGGGCAGAGAGCCGGAGCTCACTGGCACGGACCCCAGGCGCCGAGCGAGAGGGGAGGCCCCGGGCCGGCCTCGCCCTGCCCTGGACTGACTTCTCCCCCGAGAGCCGGTTGCAGAGCACCTGGGCACTGAGCACGAAAGGCAGGGACGCGGCGGCGTGGAAAGGGGGCCTCAGGGGCCAGAGAGAGAAGCGGCTGGAGGACCAGGCCCGGGGCTCGCCCAGCCTCGCCACGGACCCCAAGAGAGGCCTGCCCTTTGCCGGCTTCTCGCCACTGCTCTCCACACAGCTGTTTCACTTCGGGAAGAGTGTCTCCTGGGGGGGGAAGCAGGCCAGCCTCTTCAGTGCCCCCCTGAGCCTGCCTCTACAGGGCGCATCCTTCTCGGCCTTCCGAGAGACCCAGGCTGGCCACGGCCCAGTGTTCGGAAGCTCACACTTGCTGGTGAAGCAGGAGGGTGGCCGCTGGCCGCCCAGGAAGTCCCAGGCAGGGCTCAGTCTGCCCGACAGGAGGAACTCGGGGCCGGAGGAGGACATCGTAGACCTGCGGTACAGGCAGAGGGGGCTGGACAGAGACGATGAAGACCAAGAGGCCCTGGGCAGCGACGCCAGCGAGTTCAGCGATGCGTCTGTGGAGGAGGGCGGCAGCCTCTTGGCCAAGGGCCCCGTCCTCCAGCTGTGAGCAGCTCCTGGCCGCGGCAAGTGTGGGCAAAGCACGTGTGTGCCCGTCCCCACACGTCACACACTCCTGATGAAAGGGCGGAGCCCTGGAAGCCCCTGTACAGCCTGTATATGTGTACACTAACGCGAAAGGATGTTTTTATTTAACAGATGTGTCCCGGTAAATATAATTTTTGTAGGCTTTTTGTAAATTATTTAAAGTGCTGTAAAAAATATTTTTGGTGAATCCCATTGTTGGATTTTGTAGGGCGTTCCTCGGGGCAGTTTTCCGTGTGTGGTCTCCGCACTAGTCTTAGATCAGCAAACACTTGGTTCCGACTGTCCCTGCACTTGGGGGTTGATCGCTGGTGGCCGTGGCCAGTCGTGGCCACAGTTTGGGCCCGAGGAAGGCAGCAGCTGGTGCCCCGCCTGCGACGTGCCAGAACGCCCCAGCGGTCTTGGTTGGGACACTCCTGGGCAGCACTTCTTATGTAAAAGAGGCCCAAGCATGTCTTCAATTGGAAAAGCGTTTCAAAGCACAATGGCCAGCGAGCAAACCGGCCATGCCAGTTGCACGTAGGAATCCTGAGTGAGATCTCAGGGCCGGTCACCAGTTCACACCTGAAGCCTGTGTTGTTTAATGTCCAGTCCTGTTCAGTTATGACATGATTCTACCAGCTCAATAAACCTCTTTTTATACAGGAGCTGCCATCCTTCGTTTTTAGTCACAGCTCTAAAAAGATACCAGGCAGCCCGTGTGTTTTAAATGCCCTTGTCCTGATCTGGGCAAAGCAAAGAGGCAGCGGCTGCTTCATGGGTTCTGGTGCCCGGAATCCTGAGGACCGAGGACAAAGCCCACCGCCCTCTGGGAACTGGGCTCGCTGGGACTGTGCTCCACCAGCAGGGGCGTGCCCGTGCTCTCGGTGTGTTTGAGCGGCGGTGCCACGCACACAGGGAAGAGCG